CACACACGTAGTCACATAACCTCTGTATAGATGGAAACACAACATCATTAAGCACTGGTATTCAATGCTTTTAAATGTGACTTTCACGACAGAAGTATCAGTATTAAATAAAAAATCATGATGATGTAACATTTGTTGGGGTCTGTACCATACGACATCTGGAGAACAAGCTTTGTAGGCCGGGGCATCTCTGCACTACAGCACTTCATTAATGCTGATTCAGCGTGATGTGATTTCAATAATATTGGGATTAATTGTGCAGCCCTAAGCCGTGGTTTAGGTCAAAATCTGTGATGTGGCTAGCACTGACTAGCATCCCAGACAGTGAGAGTGAGGACCTGTACCAAGGCCTACTTTAATGGTACTTAACAGGCTACATTGCACTGCACAAATTATAGTCAGACCGTAGCGAACCCTCTGTCAAGGCTTCTGCCCCAGCAGGGTGTTGAGTAGGCCTGTCATGATAACTACTTGGATGACATACTGTTGCAGAAATAACTGCTTTAAACAATATTATTGTCATTTTAAGCCCATTTTATGTCACTGATATAACAAGCTTCAGGTCACTTTATTTGTACCCTCTTGACAAAAATCTAAAAACAACAAACAACTCAGGCAATAGACAAACATGATAAACAATAAAGATAAAAAGTGCTATAGGCTCTAAAAATCAGGACTTAGAAAGAGAATACAAAGCCGCTAAAATAAATAACCAGAAGAATAAATACGTTTTTTACTACAGCTTGTTGATCCTAAGCTTTGGTCATCTTGGGACTATAAACGTCCAGGGGGAAGAAGCTGAACTTCACTGTGCAAAGGGTAGCAGTCGTTGTGATTTTAAATGAAGCAGGTTATCTGTCTGTTGTACAGGGATTCTGGGTTAAGCTGTGACTCACCAATCAGCCTACTGGACCATCTATGTGTGTGATGTGAATGTTGGCGACATCCTTAAATGATAAATCAGTATCTTGGCAGGCAGTAATTGTTGATCAAAATTCCTTCGAAGCATGGATACACCGAGCGGGGATGTCGGCTCATTTAAAAAAACCATGGTCATTTTATAGCTGACAAAAATCAAATCTTGGTAGCGTTGAAGTGAACAGTGAATTTCAAGTGTACTGCTGGGTTCTAACAGACAGAAAGACTTCTAACAACAACTGTAAGACATGTCGAGTCTCCAACTCAACATTTACTAGAGCACACACTAATATAACGGGGCGGCAGTAGCTCAGTCTGTAGGGACTTGGCTTGGGAAATGGAGGGTCGCTGGTTCAAGTCCCACAGACCACAATGCGGAGTGTGGACTGGTAGCTGAATGAAAGTGTGTGCGAGTGAAAAAACAACTTCCCCAGTTGGGGCTTGGCACCTTATGGAAGGATTTTGACCCAAAGCCAGCCACTGTGCTTCCATTAGTATGTTTCATATTGGAGTGTAAAACAATTGAGGGTGCACACACTCACAGTGGCTGTAAAGTTTTCTCAATTTGCAATTTATGGGGGGCCCAAAAGCAAGTGGACAGATGAACTTTAAGTTTAACTTGTAACTGGTCATTGGTTGACACTCTCACTGAAAGCTTCCAACTGACTCTACTGTGAACACACTTGTACCTACCTGTGTACCAATTCATTAGAATCCAGCTACTGACAATAAATACGGTGCCACACTTACTTTAATGTTGCCTATATTGTTATCAGATTGTATAATATCAAATGTTGCAAAGAGAACATGCAGCACCAAACTCTATTCAAAATCTTGCCAAATAATAATAATATTCACATCAGATGCAAGGGCTTCCATGGTCACACCTGTGTGCGATACAGGGATATGTTTGATTGTCTTGTATTGTCTTGTATTACAAGACAGAATCATTGAATTGATCAAAGTGATTGATCCTGAAGGTGTGAGGTCCCAACATGTTATGTATGGCACATGGTTGTATTGATGGAAGCTTTCAGAACAAACAACGAGCCATCAGTAGTAGCGGAATATTTCATCACATCCATTGCGCGCTTGGGACGATGCCCGGAGCAACTGCGCGCTGACGGACGGACAACGGACACACGTAACGTTAGTTCTGGAAGAGGCGAATGAGTTGACTTTGTTCTCGGCGTAGACTAAATATAGTCTGTGGACGCAAATGCTTTAAGTAACACTACAGATATAATGAATGCGGTCAACCGGGTCTGTCTAATGAGAGAATCGTCTGGCATTGCGTTAATGAACCAGATACATGTTCAGTCCACACTGGTAATAAACAATCAGCTGTCATCCCATCATGACACTCAACACCATCAGGTCACTATGTCCATGTCACTTTAAAGTCAGCAGATAACGGCATGCCAAAGCACAAAGTCACTCTCATCCCTGCTTCAGTAAGTAACTTAGCTATTGTAGCTGAGCTGAACCGTTTCTTTTAACGGTTTCGACTTCCTGGCCAAGAGATGAAGTCAACAGGCTAACGTCCCTGGTTAGCTGAAGCTAACGTTAGCTAATTACGCCGTAACAACATAAAGCAGCAGTGAGCTAACATTACCAGTATAAGCTCCTCGCGTGTCCTTATCAAAAACATTTGTATAAAGTCACGTTTACCTTGAGGTCATTTTCTGGGAGGTATTTACACTGCTTTGCAATCTCTGCATATTTATCCAAATCTAGAGGCGCCATTATATCTAGCTAGTCTCATGCGCAACTTCCTGCAACAGTTCAGCATCATGTTCTCTACCCTCTACTGCCATCTATCGTCTGGGATAACAAATAGCACTTTCATTACTGCACTGTTACTGTACTGTATAAAACCATACTATATTATAAACGCATCATTTAACCAGATTAGGGTTAAGAAGAAAAGGAAAACAATAAAAGAATAAATAAATATGTTGTAGAACAAAAAAATAAAACTGATTCTAAATTTGTTATTTATGTATTGTATTCTTTTTTTTCTTACGTTTATGTATATCTAGAGCTGCTATAACAAGTGGATTTCCCCAGTGTGGGATCAATAAAGTCTATTTTATCTTATCTTATAAACTCCATCCATGTTACAAATACGATGTGCCATTATTTATTTATATAGTTCCACATCACCAGCTGGCATTTATAAATGTTGCAGATTTATTCTGAGGTGTGTATAGCTGAACGTTGTCCTGAAATAAAGGTTGAATATCTTGTAAGCAATTTGATTCTGCTAGCAAACTATTATTTGCATAAATATTCTCCTTCTCTTGAAAAAGTTAAAAAACTAAATAATTTTTTTTAAAGCCATAGACATATTAATTATATGCCTATGTCTAATTATAATCCAATAATTAATAATACATCTTTAAAACTACTTTACTCCCCAGTCATTTTCTCAGTTGTATTGTAATTAACTAACATCGTGTTCTACATATGTCTGTCTTCAATTAAGTGGAGAGAAAAAAGCTGATTAAAAACATCAACTTTATTTCCTTACATTTCACTAGTAAAAACAGATGCACACAGGCATTGTAGAAGCCTAATGGACACATTCGGATACAGTGCTGCAGGGATGATGTCTTTTTGTAGTCCAACCTAACTAGCATTGCTCTGGTTCCTTCAGCAAATATTCAATGGGATAAATGTGATTGTCAGAAATAAAAAGCTAACATTAGGCTATAAACGAACTACACCACGGTTGCATGACTTCAACTTTACCACCACGAAAGTGTTCAGCATGCTGATGTTTATTCTTTTTTTATTATTATTCCGGGATTTTAGGACTCATTCCTGCAGCACTCTGTACTCTTTGCAACAGCGTTTATAAACGCCATGGTGATATAAAACTATATTAACAGACATATAAAATATCAAAAGGCAGAGACAGGCAGACGAATACTATGACTGACTCACTGGCATCGATATGAATGATCACAACCATGGCTGTAGCCACAGAGTCAAGATTGGGGAGGACCAAATGTGCCAGGGTCTGAGCCCCCCTTGAAAAAAAAGGAAAAAATGTAAATCTCATTTTCTGCCAACACATGGGATGAACGTTTTATTTATTTTTACAATAAGGTGGAGTGTTGCAATGTCACATTTGCTTCTTTTCATTTTGTTCACTTGTCAACACAATTGAGAGTGATATAACCTCAAAAAATACCTTCTATTTTCCCACTTTTTAATGCATTTGAAAGCAATGACAGTCATTGTTTGACATTGACTGTACCTACTCACAGCAGTCGAGCTGCTTAGGTGTGGACAAACCACACAGGGTACACCATAATACTAGAACTGGTAGTAATAATAATGCCAATTTGTTAACTTTAATTATGATTCTGATCATTTTTTTTGTGATTATTTTGTAAGGCGATACATGGTTGTCTATATGTTTTATATCAATATATTAGGTGGTACATTTTGAGCATATCTGAGTATATATTATAATTACTGCCATGCAAGAAACCTAACAACAGTCAAGACAGATTTTTAGGTTTCAACATAAACTATACAGAGGTGTCCTTACACACTGTCACCACTAGAGGGGAATAATCACTCACTGATTAGACACTCATGACAACAAACCTAGAACTTCAACGTTAAGGCAGATACTATATTACTTCTTGTACTTATACATACTTGTTCCTGTTCTACTTAACAAGAATGACTTTCATTCACAGTTTTGTCTTATTTAACCGAGGTTTTAACTCAAGATTATCAATCACATGAATTCTTTTTTAACGAAATGAGTGACACTCATATAGATTGAGTTGTGAAAACTATCAAGTCTGTGGCGTTGCACGCAAAAACAGAAGTGGGTAATGGACCTTAAACTAAAAGCATGATAACATGATAAGCCACCATTAGGCATTTCCATCATACCTGTTAGGTGTAATGCTATAACAGTACTACAACATTTAATTTGATCTTAAAGGCACTCTATCTTTACAAAAATGCTTCCTTATGTTGTTTAATTTATTAATCAACCCGTTTGTGTTTCGATAATTTACACAGGAGTGAGGACGTGATAAAGTACAACATATTGTGTCTACAAAGGGCGTTACAACGACTGTCCAACCAGCGAATGCACAAGCGCCCTGAGGCTTTCTTCCTATTGGCTGATACGTACGTCAATCTCGGATTGCTCATGCTAGGTTGCGGAGCAGGTGAAGTGTTGACTGTGGTTCATAGGGCAACAAACAGCAGCGTACGCCGCCGGGGGACATCAATGGTGGAGTACGCGTCCATTCAGGGAAAGGTCTGAGAGAGACCATTACTGGGGCTTACATGGAGAGCTGAAAGTGAATATGAGGTTAACGTCCTTAATGATGTACATATCTCCGGTCCTGCTAGTTATTTTGTATGTATATATCGGATTTTCTGAAGCTGCACCTCGCATCAGCCCGTACGATGCGTCGCCTATCTCCAGGAAGCCCGGCTCAGCCTCCGACACCTGGGAGACCTTCCACACCGACATGCCTCGTCATTTACCCGAGAGAAGGTCCGCTCTCGGGCCTCTGACCGGACTCACACCATCGCCTGCTATTGTTTCTGCCGGCCCGACCACTACTGCTACTAGCAGCCCTAATTCTATAATTGCAACCACCTTCCAGCTTCCAACAACGGACCCGACCACCACCACTACTACCGCCACCTCTGAAACTGGAATCATTTCAGCCACAAGCGAGCAAATAACAGCGCCGATTTCCAGGTTAACCGGCGCACGCAAGAGATCCACAGATGCACAAACATCACTTTTTGCTCCGGAGAAAACGCTGCAGGCCATGGTGTCCATGGTCTCCCAGCGCACTGCTAACGATGCCTGGGCTGCAGATAACACTGGCACATCTGTTACCTCAGTAGAGAATAGTCAAGGTGAGTGCCCCGAACGCGAGCAGGAACCGCGAAATAAAACCATTCGCATGTTTTTAGGTTTTGCAAATCGGAAATTGGGGGTAAAATGATGGCCTGCGTGCTTTTTCTCTTGCACATTCATGTTCAGAAAATGAGCCTGTGTGCAGAATGAGACACCCATGTCTGATACAGGCTACTAAAAGGAGCACGGTGGTCGCACGGTGGTTTTGACGCAGAGAGCAACCGAATAAAGCAGATTACAACAATGGGCAGACCCCTCACATTGCACGGCGTACCCCTTCAGACAATCGGAAAATCACTAAATCCTAACCTCGTTAAAAACACCACTCGTGTACAGTGTACCCAGTGTGGATGTTGCTCTGTAGCGTATATTACATTGGAGGCCTTTTATTATAGAACCAGTGTGCCACATATCACAGTGGGCTGGAAAAGGGGGGGTATGAGGGGGTGTAAGGTTGATCCCCTCGTTGTTCAGTCAATGTATCCAATCCTTCAGTGCACACAGCATCCCTGCAGACCTGTGATCCCTTTGTGTTAGAGCAGACCTGTTTGATGTTGACAGGACATTAAAAGAAGCTGCCTAGATAGCTGCTTCATCCCCTCCATTGTTGTTTGCATGGCACATACAGAACAAGGCCGTCCAACCAAAATGGCCAGGCAGGCCAAGCCATGAATGAGCAATGACAGTGGAGCCCCTCCTCTCACACCTCACACATCCCAGTATCCATGTGGATGTGTTGTTCTCTAGGCAGCACAGCAGCTCAGGCTGACGCATCCATGTTCAAAATGGTTCTTTAATGGTTGGGGGAAGCCTAAGGTGGGAGTTTTAGACCATGTTCCCTCTTGCTATTAGGAACTGGAGCTTAGAAATTCAGTCTAAACTACGGTATGTACACTAGAAGTTGAATTCAGCATCCTGTTTGGGAATATGATGGATACAAAATAAATAATGTCTTCACACGTTTGCAAAATCTTTATTTCCCCTTAATGTCTGTCATCATCTCTGTCTTCAGAGACATGCTGTCTTGTGGTTGTTACTTCAGGATGGCCCTCAGCCAGAACATCAAATCCAGACTGACTTTATTTTGTATTCTGAATGACATTGGCCTCTCACATAAGGGCTGCAGTCCAGTCATGTTTTTACATTGACCCTTTGTTCTCCACACTGGAGGTGACAGGAGGTGAATTCTTGCAAAAATGCCAAATGTTAATTGTCTTAGGAAGATTTGCTGGGTTTTTTTGTCTTTTGTGACCGTGAACTGAGTCGATGGTACGAGGTACATGAAGGCGTTAGGGACTGGATGGGCATTTCTCACTATTTTCCGACACTTTGTAGGCCGAATAAGATCGGTGCAGAAATCGGAAACATGGGCACAGATTAATTGATCGTCGCAGCCCTGTTTTTAATCAACATATATTACAGATGAGGCAGTTCCCGTAAATCAGTCAGTGTTATTCACCAGCGGCCAGTGTAGGGATGGACCGATTTATCAGCATGGCTGATCATCGGGTCCAATGTTCAGCATGTTCCAGGTATAGCTACTGTTATTTTTTGCCTGTGATTGCCAATAAAATAATTTTAGAGATGTTCCAATAACATTTTTGGCTTCATGATGCCAATTTCCGATACTTGAACTTGCATATCGAACAATACTGAATACAGATCTGATGCAAGTGTGTTAAAAATACATATATGATTATTCTTTTAATAATAATAATAGTAAAAAAAAAAATTTTAGTGTACAATGTTTGCCTCCGAAATGTAGAGGAGTGGAGGTATAAAATAGCATAAAATGGATATACCCAAGTACAAGTACCTCAGAATTGTACTTGAGTAAATGTACTTAGTTAATTTTGCCACTCAGATTGTAATTTGTACTACAAATGTATATATCTGTTCCATATATCTCTTATCGGTTTCATTGATTACTAATAATCGACTCCTGTATCAGCCTTGAAAAAACCATATCGGTTGATCTTTAGCTCAGTTGGACCTCAGTCAAAATGCAGTGTGCTCCCTTGGGTGACATCATACATGACACCGTCACCTTATTGAAAGTATGTCCTCGAAGCTTAGCACTCTCCTTTGTTCCTCTGTAAAGGCCACTCACATGATAGTATCACGTCAACAAAGGCGTCACCTGGGTTAACGCCCCGCCCTGCTACCAATATGCATTCTCTGGCAGGGCAGAGGGCTCGCAGACAGATATAAGGTGTGTTTCACCTAATTCAGACATTCCTTTCTTAGACGCATCTCTCATTTTTTTTCAGTCAGACCACGTTCTGTGTGACGCTGGAGCTGAAACTGAGAGTACAGCAATTGTTTCCGTGCAAGGGCGCCTCCCACCAATGTTGTTTTCTCTGTAGCAGCAAAGGCAGGCGAGCGGGGAATTAAGCAAGAGAGGAGTGTTTGAGACGTGACTTGTTCTGAACAGCCTGCTGCTGCCCATGTCTGAGTACCTGCCAGGCTGTCACACCACTTTTACAGCAGTCAGATAAATGGGAGAGAGGTGAACTCTCTCCACTGCACACAGGTCCAGTCCAATCTACATCAAACCTGTTGTGTGGTTTTACAGATCACCCCTATCCCACACCTAGAGGAAGCCTGGTTCTAAGAATGGACTGCAGTGTGTGTGTGTGTGTGGTGATACGCATTCACTACATCTCATACATTCTCAGGCGTGATCGGGGCCGACAGCTCTTCAGTGGGCGTCACTGTAGCAAAGAGTCTGACAGTATAGTCCGCTGGCTTGCATAACCGTAGGTCTTTCTTAGTTACATAAAAGTCCAAGCAACAGGAGTGGGACACCAAGACAGAATCCATTAATATTCAGCTGTCCTTTCCTCTTTATCCAACTGCATGTGGCTGAGGCACTGTGTGCAGTCTGTGTGCACAGAAAACCATTGTTATTTAGCTCTCACATCTTATCTGTCTGTGTTCTTTGTCTGACTGCTGAGCCCCGAATGGAGACGTATAGTCAGTCGTCACTCGCCACACCTAACCTGAGATCAGATGAATAATAGATTGCCACTGTGCACTACAGGGTCATCCACATGTCTGTCATTATATCCTCTGGTTTCTTTAAGTGCACCAGTTTGAACTGTACTAAATCGTCCTTTGGCAACCCAGCAGGGCTCGGTTTACCAGGTTCACAGGACATACATTTTCAGGAGGTGTATTCATCATCATAAAGTTGTATAAAACAGATCTGATGCCAGTGTTTTTTAAAAAGCATTAATCATGCTTAAAGAAATTTACCCAGAATTTGTTTATATACTAGTGATTTGCTTCACTGAGGCAGGTGCGCATCTTGATACATATGACGCAACTTCTAATGCGATACGATTCTATACACTCCTACTGCGATTCAACACAATGCAAATAAATATGATGCTATGCAGTCCTTCTTAAAGCTGCAGTAGATGATTTTGATAAAAATAATGTCTTGTCATTTTTGCTAAAACTTTCACTATA